ACAGACCCACCCGGACCGCGCAGCGAGCAGCTCCGCCCCGCATGCCTGCTCGCCCGTGTGCATGTGTGTTTTCGGAGCTGCGCCAATTACAAGGCATTTTGCTTAAAGATGACATTATGCAAGTCGGCCCAGATGGTGGCTTAAACACACACGCTCCTGCCCGGGCAGCCTTCATGAATCACGCAGACACTCACCTGTACCTTCCTCTTTCTGAGAACACGCCGCCCATAAATCACAGTCAGGGACTCAATCGTGTGCTCTACCCGCCACGGGCTTCACAAATCCCAGCTCCCTGTATGCTCCCCCCAAGTCTATCGGGTAAGCCGTCTGACTGCCCCCATTCTAGGGAGGAGGAGGCTGAGGCGGAGGCTCCGAGAGGCTTAGGAATTTTCCCAGGTCACACCCCAGTCAGGGCCAGAGCTGAGCTGCAAATCCTGGCAGGCTGGCTCCCAAGCTCAAGTCCTTAGTGGCTTTCTCAAGCCTCCTGCGCGTGCCGGGCCGCAGCACAGCACAGGGGGAGGCGCAGCGGTTTCCCAGGGGCCCTTCCCCAGCTCAGCTAGGAGCGAGCTCCCTGCCCGAGGCCTCACCTGTGCTGCCCCTTCCCTTCTTACCTTCCCTCCCTCCTCTGCTGTAAGCACCTGTCAGCTCCGAGAGACTGTTTTCCTGTTTACATGTGCGTAACCTTTATTGTGGAGATGTCCCCTTCTTCCCCCCAGGCCTCCCTCCACCGGGTTCCCAGCCCACGCCCGGCTTTCATCTCACTGTTGTCTGTGTCCATCGATTCCGCATATACCAGCTCTGAGAAGGGAGACACTTTAAGGCGAGACCTTGCTGCCTTCCCCCAGGCCTAGCACGTGCGATGCTGGAGGTGGGACGGTAATGATGGTTACCAGGTGAGGCTGCTGAGAGCCAAGCGGACCAGGGAGAACTGTCTGGCAGGAGGGAGGCAGGACGTGGATAAGGTCAGGCGGAACCTGGTTTAGGGTGAGAAAATGGTATCTGCTGCAGCTGAAATTGGCAGCAGGGCTGGCAGATCAGGCTTGATCTTTGGGTCAGAGAAGATACTGGCCAAAGTGACAGGATCCCCAGGTAATTTTGTGCTAAAGAAGAGGTTCCAGCAGGGACTTAATTTCCCTCCTCCTAGAGGACATGACCCCAATGGCAGGACCGAGAGCGAGTGCTGGAGACGGGGAGATGCAGTTCCCTGGGGTGCCCCTGCTGCTTTCTAATCCTCCCCGACTCCCTGAGGAAAAGGGGCGCAGAAGGAGTACCCCAAAGTACCCACAGGCCCAGAGTACCCCGAGGCCCATCTTTCCTCAGCTCTTTCACCTAAAGGATCAAGTAGCAGAGGCCCAACAGGTGTGACTTTATTCCGCGATGGGAGTGTAGTGGGGGAAGGACACAGAGAAAGACACAGTGTCCTTTGAGGCGCCCGGTATTGATGCTGACTTATTCTATATCTGCGTGCCCCCAGTCCCTGTCCTTCTTTAGCTTCTTTCTTGGCCCCTATTTAGCACTTCGGCTGCCTAGGTTCCGGCTAGTGTTTTGGGTGCTGTCTTCTCAGGTATTGGGCTGGTGTTAATGGGGATCCCCGTCCCCCTCTTGCTTGGGGAGGAAGGCAAGTGGGTCCTTTGCTTCGAGTGAGAATCTGGTTTTTGCTTTAAGCCGGGATAATACCTTCCTTCTCCACAATGCATTCAGTGGCCACTTTCTCCCTGATGTACCTGGGGGTGAACACATCTTACCACGGTGATGATTAATTTTCTTCCTAGAACCACACATTATGGCAGGTAGCAGATATTCTTCCCATTAGCCTGACTTTGTAATGAAAATGAATTCTAGAGAGAGTGTACCTAGACGAGAAATAAGCCAAAATTATTATTTGCAAATAAAACAGGATACAAAGGAATATACTATAAATCTCAGTATTATTTAAAAAAATGAAAGAAAAAGCATATAAATACACATTTTAAAAAAGACTGAAGGAAATATGTCAAATATTAAAAGAGGTAAACTCTGGTTTTTATCTTGTGCTTTAAACTGTCTACATTTCCCAAATTTTCTACAATCAGTATAAAGTAATTATAAATGTCAGCTCTATAAAATTGGTTGAGATTTCCCTAGTGGCTTCTAATGTGGCCAATTTTAGGAAATGCCTCACACATGCTTGAAGAGAATATTCAATCTCCATTTTGGGATGCAAATGTCTATCTTTATTTCTCTTCTATATAAGGCTTTAAAATATTCTAAATTCTTAGTTTTTGGTCTTGTTTTGCCAGCTTTTGAGAGAGGAATTAAAATCTTTCACATGTTTGTGGGCTTGTTAAATTCTCCATCTAATTCGGTAAATTTTTGTTTGGGATACCAGGCTCTATTATTAGATACACAAATTCACAGGTTTCTTTTTTTTTTAGATTATTATTAACATTAAAAAAATTTTTTTTTTATTGATTTCAGAACAATGGGAGTGTAGTGGGGGAAGGACACAGAGAAAGACACAGTGTCCTTTGAGGCGCCCGGTATTGATGCTGACTTATTCTATATCTGCGTGCCCCCAGTCCCTGTCCTTCTTTAGCTTCTTTCTTGGCCCCTATTTAGCACTTCGGCTGCCTAGGTTCCGGCTAGTGTTTTGGGTGCTGTCTTCTCAGGTATTGGGCTGGTGTTAATGGGGATCCCCGTCCCCCTCTTGCTTGGGGAGGAAGGCAAGTGGGTCCTTTGCTTCGAGTGAGAATCTGGTTTTTGCTTTAAGCCGGGATAATACCTTCCTTCTCCACAATGCATTCAGTGGCCACTTTCTCCCTGATGTACCTGAGGGTGAACACATCTTACCACGGTGATGATTAATTTTCTTCCTAGAACCACACATTATGGCAGGTAGCAGATATTCTTCCCATTAGCCTGACTTTGTAATGAAAATGAATTCTAGAGAGAGTGTACCTAGACGAGAAATAAGCCAAAATTATTATTTGCAAATAAAACAGGATACAAAGGAATATACTATAA